GCCTGTAATTCACCAGAAAGAGGTTTAGCCACAGACCAGAGCCTTCAGAGGAAGGGCAGGACTGGGGACCATCTGGCAGATGCTGAGGGTCTGACCTTTACACCATGAGTCTCCAAATTTTTTTGTTTCTATTTCTAACCAGTGACATCATACAATTCCAGAAATTCATCAAGTCAACTGAACACTTAACATGTATCATAAAGAATTTCTTAGGAATGTATTTAAATGTTTTTTCCTTCTTTTAAGTATTGGCAGCCTCAAAAATTGGAACATCCGAGAGACCTAACCAGGGATAATAAGACAGTTGACAAAACCAGTTGTCAATACATGTGGGTGTCGGTTCTCTGGTTCTCTGCAGTTCTAACCCAAACCACCACACAGTCATGAGAAAACCCTACCTCGGCAGGGAGATGGACCACAGCAGAGGAAGGCAAAGAGACTGACCTGTAGCAGAGACCTTCCAAGTTGATTTTCTTTGCCTTCAACCCCTGGGAGGAAAGTTGCTCCAGCTGCCAAACCTCAAAGTGTTATTTAGAGAAGTTGGTCGAACTTCTCTGGTTGAGGTGATACAGGATTACCTCGGCATGCAGACTCTCCTGTCTTCCAGCACGGGAAGGGCAGTCCTGAGAGATGGAGGTCTGGCTTGGGGCCCACTCAAGCCCTGTCACCTGAACAAATATCTTCCTGTCATGTTAAAGTCACTGGGGAGAACAGCTGAGGTCCAACCTAGCATCTGCTGATTAATTGTTTGCACAGTGTCAGTTTTCTTGCTGAGGGTGTCCACCCTGTACCCTGACATTGTTTTCTTTAGGAGAAAAAAAGAAACCCAGCATGATATTTACCCAGCTACCCAGTGATTCAGCACAGTTGATTACACCAGCTCCGAACTGTCTTTCCCCAGCTCCATACTGTCCTCCTTTGAAGGACAGATGGAGACCACAGCTAAGAAATTCCTGGTTCCTGGGATGGCAAATGCAAGAATAAGTTGCCTTCCAAGGCTCCCAGAAGGATGACAAAGGCAAAAGACTCTCCTGGTCTTTGGGCAGGGCTGGGGAGGCTTCCTGGGAGACAGAGTGTTCTCCATGCTTTTGCCAGGGCTACCTGGGAACTCAGGAGGTGGAGGTGCCTGGAGTGCAGGTGTGTGTCATAGGTGTAGCGATGCTGGACCTGGGCCAGCTTCCACAGAGGCTGATGTGGGACTGGGTTGTGCAGGCAACTGCTTTCTTCTACCAGTGGAGACTTATGTTTGAAAGTGTATTATTCATTAAAATGTGGAAGATGGAGTTGACTTGTACAAGCCGACAGGGCCAGATTTAGACCATCTATTTTCTAAACTAAAAACCACTTCTTTCAGAATTTTTTTTCCCCTAACATTTTATGGTATGTTAATTTTGAGTATTTGGTATTACCTTGGTTAGCCATAACAATCCATACTTTATAATACTTTATATTGCGGGTCTATGGGCTTTTATTATCTGACACCGATGAAACCAATGTGTTGTATATTCTGCAAATTTGGAAAGATCTTAGGAAGACCTTAGACAGTGGGATGGATGCCCCTTCTTACTCCAGAAGAGTGGTTTCACAGCTACCTGCAGTCATCATCTCCTTTGCAAACAATGCCTTCCTGAAGTCTTTCTTTCCTTGAAGTTTATCAAATCATCACTCCCAGGAAGTTCTTCAAGGAACACGAAGGCATGGAGAAGCAGTGGAAAGCCCATTTGGGAAATATAGGGAATTTTCTTGTTGTTATGAAACCTTTATATATTTGAAAGACTCATGCCACACCCTAGAGTAACTAATTTGAAATATGTAAAAAGAAGAAAGTCCAAGTAAATGACAAGGATCAACAACCACCTGTATGGCAAATAATCCTGTTTTCCATCCTCTGACACACCCCCTGATTCCATGACATCACTTCCTGATTCCATGACACCACTTCCTGATTCCATGACACCATTTCCTGATTCCATGACATCACTTTCTGATTCCATGACACCAGCCTCTGATTCCATGACACCACCCCCTAATACCACCCCCCGATTCCATGACACCATCCCTTGCAAGGAAACCACATGAACCAAATTGCTTATTGCTGACCAGCAAAATACCTCTTTAAGGGGGTGACATTTGGGCTGATACCTAAACATCAAGAAGGGACTGCACATATGAGGCAGAAGAAATAGTAGCTGCAAAGGCCCTAGGGAAGAAGAAAGTTTACTGTACTAGAAAAACAAACTAGAACCTAGAAAACAAACAATGGGGGAGGCAAAGGAAGGCAGGGCAGAGAGGCAACCAACCCTATATCAAAAGGGAGATTATATTTCATAGTATTTAAATTATTGTTCAAAGTGTAACGAGAAACCCCTAAGTATTGGTGACTTGATTTATGTGTTTAAGTACAGTAACAGCTTTGTTTGTAAGCATAATTTGTTCTGGAAATGTGCTTGTAATCCAAAGCATTATAGATCATGGCAAATTTCCCCATATAAAAAATAATGGAAGATCAGATGATTTGTTCCATAACTCAAAAATATTCATATAACTGCAATACTATAATATAACACAAAATAATAAATAAAATACAAAATATAAAGAAAAATAAACAGATTAACAGGCATTTACCTTTGAAAACCGTTGTGGCTGATGTGAGGGAGATGAGAGAGGAGGGCTATCATGCAGGACGACTTTCACTGTCACTAACAAAATCACCACTGTTTATTGGCTCAGTGGAGTTCTTTAGTTCTTGCGCACCTTTAACAAGGAACTTATCCAATGACACTTGCTATTGCCTCCTTTTGAGGATTTCCTGGAAATGTGACACTGCATTATCATTAAACAGATTCATCACTCACACTGTGGCCTTATCCAGGGGGTGCTTTTCTACAGAATTTTCCACTGTTTCCCACATTTTACACATCTCCCTAATTTTATTTGAAGTGAAGGCTTCCTCGGCCTTTTTCTTCACCTCCTCTGCAGATGAGATCTCCTCTATAACCTCTTGCTGTTTTCAGACAATCACCCACAATTCCACAGAGGGAGGGAGCCATTGGCTCAGTTGTGACCATGTGACTTTCTATGTCATATAGTACTCACATTCCAAGACATTGCTTGTTTACCAAGGTAAGATTTGTTCAAAATGTTGACTCGTCTTGTGGAACACTTGCAGAACCAACTACTCACAATCCAAGGTTTTACATTAGTATCCCCTGCAGCTATATAAAGAAGAAGGTGAAGATAGTGAATGAAGGCAGGCCCACCAAATAAGAGGCTCAGTGGAGGTGAAAGACAGCAGTGTCCATGCCTAGTCCAGTAGATGTGCAGTGAGAAGTGGCGGGAAACTCCCTGGGGAGAGTTATTTTGGAATTAGACATGAAAGGACTTGATGATGGATGGGATGTGAAAGGCGAGGTACAGAGCCCCAGACTCAAGTCTGGTCAGCTACGGAGACAGGGAAGTCATTAACAGAGAGGTAGTATAGGGTGAGAGGGTTGCAGCAGTGACTCTTGGTGAATGTGCTGAGATTTCAACATCTGTGGTGGTAGGGACATTGTGGTAGCATCTGGATGAGTCCTCCAGCTCCAGGGCAGGAATAGAGGTAGGGACATGAGAACCACTGGCAAAAGGCAGGGTAGGGGGATTATCTGGGACTCCAGAGAGGAAGAGCAGAAGAAGGAGGCAGCTAGGTACCCTAAAGTAAAAGCCAGCAGGAAATTAGGAGTCCCCTAGGAAGGTAGAAAGAAAATTAGGAACACATGATGATTAGAAAGCCAAAGGGCTTGAGACTGGCACATCCAGTCTATCCAGTGTCTCTATCTTCTTCAGGGGTGCAGTCATCCCAAAGAGGTGCACGTGAGATGTACAATACTAATACAGAAGTGTGAGCTCATCCCATTGTTCCCGGGAAAAGAACCTCAAGATGGTTGCATTTCAGAGCAAGGAAAGGGTTATGAAAGGCCAATCTTAGCAGAGCATCATTTTGCTGCTTTCTGAGAAGCAGAAGCTGGACTATAAATGGGCCACTTAAAAATGGCTGACTTGAAGAAGTTTGATAATAAAGGCTCAGGTACCTTAGTCAGAATAAGCCAGGTTTTGCTGCAACAACAGATATCCCTGCACTCTTGGAGTATAATACAGAAAAGTCTGGGGGGACCTGGGCCACACTCCTCACTGCCCACTGGAGCACTTGCTGTATAAGACTGCTACGGTAGGGAAAGGAAGGGGAGGAGGAAAGAAAGATCCTCTTATCCCCCTCACCAATATACAGTACTCCTGGTTCTACCAATTAGAGCAAGTCAAAGGAGCAAAGCTAATTGCAAGGGAGGCTGAAGGATGTGGGGAGATGGAATATTCCAGAAGCAGCAGTCACCTTTGCCATAGTGTGTATATGTCACACACAACTAAAGGAAAGCATGAGCTCCTTGTCCTCCTCCTATCTTCAAATCTGTGTCCCTCCTTCCATTCCCTCCCCTCTGTGGAGGCCTGGCTTGCTCAGGACTTGGCTTTCCATCACTGGAGTGTTAATAGCACCTGAAAGAGACACCCTTGCCTTGGGGATCTACTTTTATCCACTGCACTGCAAAGTGAGTTTGCCTAATGATAGTGTTTTTGGCCCTGCAGCAGGAAGGGAGAAGTGCCAACATGCCAGCTACACATTTATCTAATTTGTGAATAATAATGGTTTGCTTTTATTAGGTACTTACTATATACTGCTGCTATTATTTTTATTGTTATTATATTATTTTAAAAGCAACACAGCCAAGCCAAATTTCAAGTCTGAGCCTTGGCAATGTTGAGCAAGTTACGTAAACTTTTCAGTTCCTCTATATGCTCAGCCATTTACAAAAGAAACAGCAATGCCACTTCCCTCACAGAGGTGAGAAATGGCAAATGCAAAGTTCTGGCTATGCTGTGGGCACCGGACATACAGTGAAAGCAGCAGGTTACCTCAAAGAGCTTCATGAACAGAAGGAAGCTGCGAACCACGTTTCAAACCATTGTGGGGGTGAGTTATGCTGGAAACCTCAACCTGTTCCCTGGGTGTGTTTCCGGGGAAGAAGAGAGAAGCCTGTGGAAATTAAGAGAGAGAGAGAATGGTGCTGAAGGCACCCTTGGGAGCAGAGCATGAGGCCCGTTCCTAGTATGGAGTCCACAGTCACAGAACCTGACACAGCCCCTCACACCCTCCACAACCACAAAGCCGGCAAAGCGTTGCACCAAACATCCCTTCCTGTGGAGGAATTGTGCCAGCTCTTGGTGCTGGCTTCCCTCCTTTGAGCTCCTCTTACCTTTGAATTCAGCTGCAGAGAGCTCGCAACATTTCCAGCCAAGGGAAGAGGCTGGCAGCAGGCTAAGAATATTGACATCACGATGCCATGATGGTTTAATTCAACCTGCAGTGGAAAAACGGAGCTAAGAGATGGGGAATTATCTGTGGCCTTCTCTGGGCACCCAGCTCTCCAGGTGTCTGAGCTGTGGCATCACCCACTGGTACCAGCACTCGGCTAATGCCATCACCTTGCCAAGATGTCATTCTCGAAGGTAATGAAATGTTATTTCAAAACACAGCATAGGTCTTGAAACAGGACACTGTCGGTGCAGAGACCCCCCAGGGTAGAACGTTTGGATGTGACTCAAAGCCGAACAGAAACTTGGAAGAACTGGCCCATGATATGGGGAGGTATGAGTCCAGTGGAAGCTGAGATCCAGACGGCAGATGAACCCTGGGAGCCAAGGACGTCTACTCTTGCCCTCAATCATCCACAAATGATTGGAGCCCAGATCTTTCCTGTTAGGTGGGCCCCATCTCCACAGGCCTTCACATGGAGAAATCTGGGATCCTACTATCTGATGACCATAAACACCAGGGTTAGGGAGGAAAACAGGCAGACAAATCATTAGGTCTTTATTTGATATAAATTTGCAGAGTTCCTATTTCTGCCCCTTTCAAAGCCAGGGCCGAGCATATTTTCCAACCCCTATTGTTTTCAATAATATTTCACATTTATTGAACATTTGCAGAATGCTTAATTTTGCTAGGCCTGAACTTTCCGACTCGGTTTAACCATGTGCGGCTGTGCAGTATTTCCAGTGCGATGCACTGAGTTGAGATGTGCTGTGGAGACGCTGCACAATGTTTTGTTGACGACTGTTATGTTGATTGCATCTTAACAGTATTGTGACTGTAGCAAATTATATCAATATTATTTGGGTTAACCTGGGCATTTCACCATGACCCCTTGACCATCTAAAATATCTAAAGTATTGGCTCACCGGACACTTCCGTTGCATGGTATTGTGTTAGTGGCACCTCACTGACTCTTCAAACGACAACCCCGAGGTGTTCTGCATCTACAGATGAGACCTTGCGCTAGGTCCCCGACCCACACTTCCTCTTCCTCCCTGTCTCAGCCCCTTCTTTACGCACCGATATCCGCAGGTTTCCTTGGTGTTCCCAGAGGTGCCAGGTAGTCTCTTTGCTGGGAATTTCTTTTCGCTACCTAAGTGGAATGTTCTTCAGATGTGGCAAGTCCTCGGGGCATTATCCAGACAGAGGTTCCATTTCAGCAGAATTTTAATTAAGGACGCCAGCTGTCTTCAAATTGTCCTGTCGTATTCACCATGAAATGCATCTTGACCATCTTGATACTCTCACTCTTTTCTTCTTCTTCATTTTCTTTCACTAGTACTTACCATCTTCTATTTCTGCAATTAACTTACGTAGTATGCACATCTCTTCCAGGGAGGGTCCTCAAACGAAAACATCAGGCTTCGCAGGGCAGGCGCCTTCCTTTGCTTTGCTCCTTCCACCTTGCACAGAGGAGGGTTAATGTCTCTGTTGGATGACGGGCTGTGGCCCTGGCCCCTCGAGCACATAATTAGTGGATGAGATGTCACACATACAGCACTCAGTGCTCAGAGAGGGTGTGTGACGAGGCATAGGGTCAGACACAGGCAGCTAAGGAGAAAAACGGATGCCTTTCAGGAGATAACTGTCACTTACTTATCAACTAACTCACAGCCTTCCTCTATCCCAAGACCAGGCCCGCTATGGGATACAGGGCAGTAAGACCATAACCCAAGTGGAGATTATATTTCAGTACAGTTTTAACTAATGATCATCAACTGCAGACCCCTACATCCTATTCCACCACCTAACAGCCCAGAACTGTAATATTTGACCTTAAAAATTAAGCAGGAAGAGAGTATTAGGAAGAATGGACCTGAAGAAAGGAGATGCCCACATGAAAAATTACGTAGCACGTTCAGAGGAGAGCTAGGACTTCTTATTTTTTCTACAGTTGTTTTGCTTCCAGTGTATTAGTACATGTGCTTAGTATGTATTATTTATGATCCTTGTGGAAAGTTGGCACATGAACATAACGCATCTTCATTCCCTTTTTCACCCCTTTCCCTCACCTCCCTCCTCCACCCATCTCTTTGTCTTCTTCCAAAATACGTTTACATTCCTTGTGTGGAGTTGATACACACACACAACACACCTCAATTTCTTTCTTTTTTTAAATGGCCAGTGCTTTTGATGATAAAAGGGTCAGTCAGCTTGAAAAAGTAGCTTAAGTCAAATGAAGAACCTTTGTTCCATGCTAAGGACTCAGATTTTCCTATCAACTACTTAAACATTTAAAGCAGAAAAGAACATTCGATTTCTTTTTGGAAGATAGCAGTGGTGGCCTTTGGAAGTAGGGACAGGAATAGGGGCCATTCAGGTGTCTACAGACAAGCTCCTGTGGACTCTGAAGAGGACTGTAACTGGGGAAGTGGAAGTGGAGACGGAAGGGGAAGCATGATGAGAGAGCTTGAGAGTAGACAGGACGGAAACTGAGGGAGCTCACACCGGAGCTACAGAAAGAGGGCTCGGATGACACTCATGGCTTCAGTGTGGGACTGGGCAGATAGCTAAGGCACTGCCTATGGGGGAAAGCAGGGAAGAGCACAGAAGATAAGTCAAACTGAGGATTTGGGCATTAGCCTTCTATTGCTGGAACCAAATATCTGACACCAAAAACTTAAAGAAGGAGAGGTTTGACCCGACTCATGGTTTCAGAGATTTCAGTCCATGGTCAGCTGGCAGCGAGAAAGAGTGTTATGGGAGAAGTGCACAGTGTAGCTGAGCTGCTCAACTCATGGAATCTGAGAAGTGCAGAGCCAAGGACAGAGCCAGAGAGGGAGGGGCCAGGGACTAGACATAGTCCCCACAGTTATCCTCTCGTTACCACCCAGGCACACCCAGACCTGTGCTTTATGAGTCTCCTAGGCAAATCTCAAGACAGTCAAGTTGGCGATCAGGACTCACCATCAGAATCTCACGTGCAGGTTTCTGTGGACCCGCTGGCAGCAGTGAGAAGAGGTCATGCCCACAGTTCCGGCCATGGACTCTGTAGTTGCTGCCATAAGAATAGATGGGGAAAAAAAAAAAGTGGCAGAGGGCAAAAATCTGGGGATGTTAATGTGGAGGTGTAAGTGAAAGAAAATGAGCCAGTGAAAGACTAGAAGAGTCAGTGGAGAAAGCACCCATAGCAGAACTAGGAGATGAAAGCAAAAGGTGGAAAGAGAGTCAGAAGGAGGCTAAAGAAGGTGAATTTTCCCATGGGACAATGTTAGTTTCTTGGACCGGTTCCCAAAGCAAAGTGCATGAGCCACGAAGGAAGCATGCCACACTCAAACTGGGTGATTCACCAGGCTCTGACAAAGTGTTATTGATAAAGATGTTGGCAAGGTGTAGGAAAATCAGAAGAAAGATGGAAGAGGCTCAGAAGATCACACTAGGAGGCTTGAATAAAAGCCACTGACTTCATGGAGGCAGCTCATCAGTAGACGAGCAGTGTATCAGTAGGGCAGAAACATAGATGTCCAAACGCAGTGAGTTGAGGTGCAGTCAGAATCCAGAAGACATGCAGGGCAGAGCCAGCTCCAGCACAAAATGAGCAGCTTGGAAGAAGCAAGCAGAACAGCATGAGGAGGCACTGGGGGCACAGGCTTTAACGTAGGCGGGCAAGGATTTACTCATGTTTACAGCATGAGTTGAAAATATCATGTCAAAATGCATTCACTATCCCAGTAAAACTACCATAAAGTCTGAAGAAACATTATAGATCAGGGATCATCTGTAAATATTTATTGTACCCACTTAATTCTCAAATTTAATTAGATGGTAAACCCAATACATCACCCTATGCACACCCACTTTTAGACGTATATGTATATATGCACACAAAACATGCACAAGGAGGGGAGAGATCACAGGCTGCTGATGCTCTATAGGCTAAGAAGGAACTTGTTCTGAGTGTGGGACACCTTCCCCCTCAGAACAACAACACTGGTGACTGGATAGGAAGAAAAGGTCTAAAGGAATAGGGGAAGTGGGAGGGGCAGGGGAAAGGTAAGAAGGAAAAGAAAAAATAAGAGAAAAGGAAAACCATGGAAACAACACGTAAGCAAGGAAGGGAGGAGAGAGTGAAGGGAGGGCTAGGGAATGGGGAAAAATTACCAACCAAGACCTTTCATGTAAAGGTGCAAGATCCCAATGATGAATGCAACTGTACTGTATACCTAAAATGTACCAATAAACTAAAAAAAAAACATAATAAAGAAAGAAAGAAACCTGTTACAATGACAGATTCTCACTTCATCCTATTCCACTCCACTGTGCCCTACAAAGTTGATGTTCGTGGCCGGCACCGATTGGCCCTATGGGGAGGGACACGGGCTGATTCCCCTGTTCCCTACCAGAAGCACAGCTGCCGTCCTCTCTGGCAGGTCCTCTGGCTGGGGCCTCTCTCCAAGATCTCTTCTCAGGCTTGGATGACTATTCCTCCATTGCCGTTCTCCAGGCTACTGTACTCTCCCTTGTGACTTGTTTACTCCCTGTCCACTTCTATGTACACAACTCCTTCCTTAAACTCTCCCAAGTTACCCAACTTGAGTGTGCTGCCTCTTATTTCCCTGGCTCATATAAGATTCCTTTGCAGCCTAGGCCAAGAGCCCCAAGATCCCCAGTACCATGCACAGCATTGCCCCACAGGAAAGCTCACTTCACAGAACAAGTCACATGTCCGGGAGAGTCACTCCCATGTTGCCCCAGCAGAAGGGGCGCTCATCTGCTGTACTGATGAGATCACAGCGAATGGTCCCATGCTCCAGGATTTCCAAGGAGCCTATGGGGGTGGGCAGTTGAGATGTCAGGCATTGCAGGAATCAGCAACATGCACGGTCAGACAGAGGTTAGTCCCCATGTCACACAGAGGGACTGGCCATGACTGAGAGTTTACAAGTCAAAGGCACTGCACTTTGAGCATAGGCATGTGCACAGGAGAAACACCTCGGCTCACAAATATTTCCATTCATGAACAATTCAGTTCACAAACAAGCATCT